ATATATATATATATATATATATATATATATATACAGTATATATATGGCGTGGCCATCTTGAATTATGATGTGGCAGCTCAATTTTTGCTACTGACTTTTCTTACACCTAGATGCAGCCAAACACCAAAATGGAAGTCGGAAACTTGCTTAGTTTTTAAATGATCCAGCTCACAAGGTTAATGTATATACATACAATATATGGTGGCAGCCATTTTGTATTTTAATGTGGCATCTCATTATTTGAAAGGACCCTTTCTTAGGCCTAGATGTTGCCACAAACCAAAACGGAAGTTGTTACCTCTTTTTTTTTTTTTTTTTTGTTATTATAATGCTACCTACATGCACAGATGAACAGAAAGACCGGACCGACCGACAGTCAGAAGATATTTCATATTCTTCCTCTCTACTTCTTGTTGGGGATAATAGAGCTCAGGAGAGTAAAAATAAAAAAATAATTGAACTTGTAATAAGCAAATATTAAAATTAAATATAAAACTCAATTAATGTTTTATTTTTATTTTTTGCATTTTACAGGCCTACTATTCCTGCCTTGGTGTTCAAGCAACGTCTGTTTCAATGTTGCTGCTGATCTGTTTCAAGTTGATGTGTTCATGCGTGCTCATCTGCTCACACAGACTCATGCTCATGTTCTTGCTGCTGTTCGACGTAATGTTTTTATGCTATTAGTGATTAGTGTATTTTTAGGTGATGTTTTTCTTAGTTCATATCTTAGATGTTATCATTGTTTTTCTTTTACATTTAATTATTGCATGTAACTGGGACCCTGTGTACATAATTTCATTCCACCACATGTATCGCATGTGGTGCGAATGACAATAAAGAATCTCTGACTCTGAATTGTCAAGATAAAAATGGAAAAATTCAAAACCTGAGTATTGTTATAATTTTTCATCACACATTTATGGCGTTTCCTCATCAAACAAGGCACTAAAGGTGCAGCTCTTAACAGATAGTGCTGGGCCACCAATTAAAGATCTGTTCCACTTGTGGAGTCTTTACATCTGACCACAAGGTTCCTTAAGGAGGGATCATGTCCTGTAGCATTATGTTAGTTGGTTGATGGTCATTCAGGGTTTTATTGGCTATAGTATTTACTGTAAAAACAATATTTTTCTAAATTAAATATATTGGGAATTACTTTCCAAAAGGGAAGTGTACAATTTAACCAGATCAAGTACTAAGCATAAAAATCCCTTTCAAGATTTACATTTGAAATGTTGTGACATTTAATGCATAATAATTTGTTAGTCCTGGTTTCTGTGGCTCTGGATTATGAAGAGCCTCTCTTTGGCCCACTCTACACATGATCAGACTCTAATGTGTCACTAATGGCAGGGACACCACAGCTTATCATCTGACTGCTCTGAGAAATCTGTCGTCAAATGAGTTCAGATTTTAAAAGAAGTGTTTGACAGATTTTTCTCACATGCGTTCCATTCTAATTGCTGATATATGGCTTAGAAAAAAAAAAGGAAGTCAACAAATAAAAGTCATGAGTTTTTCCAAATGATGACTGCTGACTCCGTTTGTTGACTGTTTTAGGGGGGTAAAAGCTGATGGCAACTCTACCATTGTGCAATCAATCTCCTATCTTAAAACAATACTGATGAGCAAAATTGGTTTCTGTCATGCAAGGCTCATGTGTTGTATTTTACACTCTGACATAAAGAAGCAAGCAGTACATTGTTGTCCCCCATCAATGAAGGATTTGAATAGTGAATGCTTGTTGTGGTCGAGATGAATGTTTTTTCTGGACTGGGATTGAACAGGTAATGCAAGTAAACCTTAATGTTTTTGGTGCAAGATATTCAAATGTGGAGGAGTTGCACTGTGTAGAAAAAAGAAGTAGGATTGTTTTTTTTTTCTTGTTCGATATGGCACAGAGTGACAGATCCTGTCAAGTGAAGGGAGCAATTTCATCCACCACCAAGTGGAGTATGGTGGAGCCAAGGGATGGCCAATGGTGGCACACACACAAATGGTCATCTTGGACATTGATGTGGCAACCCAATTGTTGAAATGAACCTGTCTTACACCTAGATGCACCTACACACCAAAATGCAATTCGGTACCTCACTTATTGCACTCACATCTTGCACAGATGGACAGGTAACAAAGGGTATTTCAAATTCCCTCACTTCACTCTACGACAGGAGACAAAAATCTAAATGTTTTATAAAGGAAGAGAATATTACTGCTGTAATTTCACAAAAAATTCTGTGTGCATGGATTTCAGAAAACGATGCTGAACTCCACTGACTTAAACTGTTTGGCGCCAGTTTAAGCCAGTGGACCTGTCAACAAAGACAAGAAAGGAAAAAAAAGCTTTTCATTCCTAAAAGCAGTGCACTTTGGTAAATGGACTGTACCTATATAGCACCTTTCTATCTTATCAAGATACTCAAAGCTCTTTACAACACAATCTGTGCCTCATTTACCCATTCATACAGCACTCTACTAGATCTCTACAAAGACTAATCAGTGTTTTATCACATTCTTACACTGATGGGACACACATCGGAGTCAATGAGGGGTTCAGTGTCTTGCCATGTGATTGCTGGCGGAATTGAACCCACAGCTCTCACACTGGAGGATGACCGCTTTAGCTACTCAGCCACAGTCCCCCCCCCCCCCACCGCACACCATTCTTCACCATTCTGTTTCCTCAGCCCCTCTGGTGAAAACCACCATGCTTCAACATTTTTCATAGAGACACACAGAACCATGCCTGCTCGTACCTTCAGCTCACTGTGGTTCTTTGTTTTTGAGGAAAACTAGAAGACTCACAAAACACATGGTTGTGCAGCCAGTTAGCCTTGTTCTATGTCCTTGCAGTGAAAATAAGCAAGAATCACAAATATTGGCATACAATCCTTTGTGAAGTAATAATTGGATGTACATATGTAATTAGTTACCCCAAGTCAAGATGGGTGCCACAGCAAATCAACACTGGCCAAATCAAAAATGGTTCTAACACAGCCACATTTAAAGATACTGAGCTAACAATTGGTATGGTAGTAGAAGATAGTAATCCCCAATATATGCTCAGAGCACTAAAAGATCTCATCATCATCACACGTAACATCATTGCAAGGTTTGACAAAAATGGATATATCTCCTTCTCTTCTATCCATAAGAGGATTTTCCAGTTTAAAACTAGTTTAAAATCAATGGGCAATATGAATTTAATCAAGGAATACAGAGTTTTTTGTAAGGATGGCGCCCTCTGCTGGGCCTTCCTTGTCTGTTCTCCCTGTTTTCTCTGATTGTCTCCACCTTCGTGTCCTGCCAGGTGTGTGTGATTGTTTCTCAGTGTGTGCTTGTATATAAGTCTACGTATTTGTATTTCTCATTGTCTGGGCATCGTCTGGTATCGTCCTGTGTTTCTGGTTTTTCTCGAGACATGTAAGTGTTTGCTGCCACGTCAGCTTATTATTTTGTATTATTAAAGTGCTTTAATTTCCTCCCTGGTTCTGAGTCCTGCCTGCACTACTGGGTTCTGTGCCAAACACAAACCCTGACAGTTTTTAATACTGTAACAAAATTTTCTGTTTGAATTAGCAAATTATCCTAAGATTTATTAACCTCCAACAGTTTTATTTTTTTATTTTATTTTTTTTTTAAAGAAGAGACAAAAGTCTAAAGCGCTGGACATGTGACAGTGAAGGCAGGGCTGGGATACTGTGTAAAGAATGAACAAGGATTTTATATTTTATGTGCAGTTTTTCACCATCTAGATCAATCACTACAACTCCATCCAGTACTGTACTAATTATGTCTCTTATGTACTTTTTTAGGTGGGCAGCACGGTGGCGCAACTGGTAGAGCTGCTGCCTCTCAGCAAGCAGGTCCTTGGTTCAAAACCCAGTCCAGGGGTTTTTGTGGGTGGAGTTTGCATGTTCTCTCCGTGCATGCGTGGGTTTGCTCCGGGTGCTCCGGTTTCCTCCCACAGACCAAAAACATGCATGTTAGGCTGATTGGTAACTCTAAATTGTCCCTAGGTGTGAGTGAGAAAGTGAATGGTTGTTCGTCTCGTTTGTCTCTATGTGGCCCTGTGATGGACTTGCGACCTATCCAGGGTGTACCCCGCCCCTCGCACAGTGATTGCTGGACATGGGCACCGGTGACCCCCGTGACCCAAAATGGAATAAACGGGTAAAGATAATGGAT